AGATATGTATAACAACTGTAGTGGGCTCACCTGCAAACAGGCGTCGGGCAACAATCGCGAATGCGGCGCACTTGTGACAATAAGCAAAGGTCATTATAGTGTTACGACCATACGACGTACGGGAATGAGTTATCAGCTGTCTAATCGTAGACAACACAATGTCGAGCCTTAAACTGTAAGCCCGTATTGGTATTGTTTCTTTTATTTGGCTGTCGAACATTATTTATGGTTTGAAATATGATTTTATGTAAAATAATTGATATGAAAAAGCCGTCTTATAAGTTATGACCCCATTTCACCACACGCAAGTGGCAGAAATGACAATGATCAGCTGACGCATTTTTCTTGGCCGAAGTCAGAGCGCGCAGCCCGACGCACCACCACCGCACCACAAAGTATGAGCAGAAGCCGCGCCCAAAGCCAGGGCCCCGGTAGCGTGAGGTAGCCGAGTCGGGGCAGCGTGCGCTGACCCAAGCCGGGGCCGCAGCTTTGGGCGCGGTCTACCGCATCCCCGCGGGCAGCCCCGGGCTATCACATGACACCGGGAGGACGCGCGGCTCCGGCTTGGGTCAGCGCACGCTGCCCTGACTCGGCTACCTCACGTTACCGGGGCCCTGGCTTTGGGCGTGGTCTACCGCACCACCTAACAGGCGTGTTCGAAACCGCAGGAGCTGATGATGAACGGGTTTATCGAAACTTGATTGGATGAGCATATCGGTAATAGCGATTTCAGTGTGTGCATTTATTGTTCATAGTGGTGTGAAATGTGGTTGGGGTACGACCGACAACCCGTCGGGGCGAATTTCGCACTGGGGTACTCAAATTTTGAAGAATTTAAGACGTTTCCATGAGTTTTGAAGGTATGGATAAGTTCTAAAAATCCGGTTCTCCTTATCTGGGCCATTAACTCCATACGGTCCAAGAAAGCTGGCACACTACCTTTAAGAAGTGTCGACATGAATACCAAATTATACTTACGAAAGAAAATTGACTTACGAAGTCGACGTGAATACGGCCCCTGCTCTAGACTCTAGAGGCCCCACACCCGTCTCAGATGGTCCCACACCAATATATCTTAGGTCCTTCATAAGGGCGACTGTGAGAGCCATCACCGCCACCGGTGCCTATGGGGGCCCAAACCGGCTAGAACGGCCCACACACGGGCCCCAGGGGCCCTGTGGCGCCAAATGGCCGCTGAGGGTTTACTGGTCATATTTCTGGCTATATTTCGACTCAGAAGGGCCGAACAGGGCTCGTAAGGGCATCTTATGAGCCCCTATAACTTATAAGTAGCCACACTGACTGACATCTCCATAAAGCCCCTACGCCGACTTCTGAGGGCCTTTGCTAGCCTCTAAGGGCCCTTACCGGCCTATTAGGGCCCGACTCTAGTGGCCTCACACCCGCCTAACCCGCGCCCCGCTGGGCTATTCAGGCCAGCCATACGCGCCCTGCTGGGGGGAGGGGGGAGGGGGCAGATTCTACCCCCCCCCCCTGTCTAACTTCCGAACCGAATGGTCGTATAAAGACGGGGAAAACGGCAATCGAAAGCTCTCAACAAGGCGGATCTTAAGACTTAAGAGCCCAAATTTTTTTGCTTAAGTAGGTCAGAGGTCAGGTCAAGGTCAGGTCAAGGGTACAAAATGCAAGTTTCTTCAGTATCGGCCTTGCACCGTAGTTACCGAAGAATGGACTGAAACTGATTGCCGAAAACGTGTTCTTAGACTACCAAGACAATATTCGTTGCATACAATGTCATTTAAAGGTCAAGGTCAAGGTCAGGTCAGGTCAGGTCAGGTCAGGTCACCAAAAACAAAATATAGAAAAGGGCATGTGCGACCCATGTTTTATGGGTCATTTTACTCATAAATTCAATAGGCACACTCAATGAGTGATATGGACCACCTCTGGATGAATTTCAGGTCGAGGTCCGGTCCAGGTCAGGTCAAGTGAGGTCAAATTTTGAAGTTGGTTGTTAAGGCCTAAAAAGGTGTCTATCTGATGCAGTTTTTCACGGCGAATCGAATGGTAGCCCTCTGCCCGCTCTAAGAACCCCAGAGGGCTTCTGAAGGTATCGCCGGCCTCTGAGGACCTCTTGCTGGCCTGAGGGCCCTGGCTGATCTCTAGTTTCAAGTCTCCCTGTGAAAGTGAAAGTTCATCTGGCACTGAGGGTATAGGTATTGTGAAGTTGCGACATTCTAGGCCCGCTCAGAACTGCAGCAGGGGCTCGCTTATGACGTCATAGTCCAAAGGTCAGTGACCTGACCTGACTAGAAAATGCAGTTAGTGTAAAAAAATCCTGCTTGAATCAAAAGTCAGGTAGGTATGCAAAGTTTCAGCTCTCTATCCCGGCGTGTTCCGACTCAGAGCTATCGTGAAAATAGCACTATGGGGGACGGTACCCCCTCCCCCCCCCCCCTGCGGCCGATGAGGATTAAATAGCGTGACCTCGGATCACCTCAGGAAGCTTGGAACTTTGAAGGTCAACATATTGATACGTTTTTTCCTATTCCGGCCATTCTATGACTAGGTAATAAAAACGTCCACCCGGCTGATAATGATGAAGCGGCACTATAAGTTCATCGCCTGTGTTATAAATTATCATCTAAATTCTAGGCATAGGCATCATGCCCTTAGATGACCTCAAGCAATTTCATCGGCCGTTTCGTCTTTCGCGACCTCCTCGGGTGATCTGAGTGACGTAAAAAGGTAGAACGTAGCAGAAAGAATAAACATGGTTGAATACATCTGAACTCTACAAATATTTGGATTCACTTCTTACACTTAAAAGAGTACGCTTACGTCACACGAAGAGTTTAACAAACCCAAGCTGATACCCCGACCCCCCCCCCCCAATCCCCATCCCCAGCTGCCGCCCCGGAAGCCCAGTCGTAATCCCAGATCTAACAGCCTCCTCCCCGTCGCAACCAAACTCCCAGTCCTCCCTCCCCTCGGAAGCCCCAAGCACAAGGCAATAGTACTCAAACACTCGATCACTTGTACCGCCCACTACACGCCGATCTGAGAAAGCAATGAAGACTGTTGGACGTTGGTTGAATAGCGTTTGGTAATAACAAAGAAACCCAAATTGCTTTCCCGAAGCAAAAGAAATTACACAATTTTTGTCCGTGCGCTGGTAAAACGACCGATTTGATGGTTTGATTAAAGGGACCCTCCCACCTTCAAAAAAGTTAATGAATTGGCACGAAAGTGATGTCGCTCTGTTCAGAAAGAGCGAAAACGAATATTTACCAAATTTCATCGAAAAATATTCACCGGTTTTCAAGATATTAGACTTTTACTTTTGTTTACTTTTTGGGATCTCCGCGGTTCCTAGCGACTTTATTTGAAAGTGCGGCATTTGTTGCGCGCAAAGCAGCATACACCACCGCGTGCTACCAAACGTTTTAGTAAACGATTTAAAAATCGTTAGATCTCCGCTGACGTCACAAATTCTAAGGGAGCATACCAATGCACTAGCCCCTTAGAATCCGAAAACTGCAAGTTTGAAATTCCATATCTCCGAATTAAAGCATTTGTCGATGTTGTGAGTGCCCAAACCGGTATTTGCAGGCCATGGCCACCAATTTGGCTATCTCAACTCAAAACTAATGTTAAGGTGGGAGTGTCCCTTTAACTGGTTTGATTAACCTTACGTACCTAATTATATCCCTCAGCTCAGTCGCTGATCTCAGATTCACTCAGTCGTCAGAGGTCATTTTTAGCCATCAGAGGCAAAGACCGGATCCCAGAGGTCATCTATAACCACCAAAGATCAACATCGCCCTCAGAGGTCATTCGTAGCCGTGAGAGGTAAACACCGGCCGCCAGAGGTCATGCTTAAATTTATCTAGCAGAGGTCAGCGCTAGCTGTAAAAGGTCAGCCCTGGCCATCGGAGGTCAGCGCCGGCTCTCAGAGGTCAGACCTGTCTGTATAGAGGTCACTGCTGTCCCCCAGAGGTCAGCCGCAGCCGCTGAGGTCACTGCTGTCCCCCAGAGGTCAGCCGCAGCCGCTGAGGTCACTGCTGTCCCCTAGAGGTCAGCCGCAGCCGCTAAGGTCACCGTCGAGCGGAGGCGTTCAAGGTCACGCCACAGTGGCCCACTCCTCCGCTGTGGCCGGTCCCCTGTCGGCGGCTGGGGCGCCGGCGGCCTTTTATGGTGACTGGATGCGGCCGGTCCGTCGTCTCCACCCAGCACTGCCCTCCGGGCGCTCCCAGCCGGGCCCCGGCTGACTGCGGGGCTGACTCACAACGCCCGCGGTCACCGGTGGTGCATGTGACGTCACTGATGGTGCACGTGACGTCAGCGGTGCTTGGTGACGTAGCGCCGGAGTTTGCGTTGGTTATCGGTGGAGAACCGGAGTGTGATTTCTTTACCATCGTATACTGGTACTGGCTGACTAAAACAGACGTCTTCATAGCAAGTGTGGATGTTTGATTTATCTATCTGATGGCCAGTGGGGTGGGTGAAATGAATAGGCATGTAGGCATGAATAGGCAACCCAACAGCGGAAGATTCGGGGCTCACCACGGATGGTTCAGCCGGTCATGTGCCAATCGCACCGACTACCTATGTATATTGATATGTGAGTCCGAGGCCGAGGGCCATCAACACCTATACGCAGTAAAAGTGAAAATATGACAAAAGCGTTTGTTGCGATTTGTACAATTTTGTAATAGCGTTTCAGGTAAAACCTTTTTCCCTCTCTCTTCTCTCTCTCTCTCTCTCTCTCTCTCTCTCTCTCTCTCTGTCTCTCTCTCTCTCTCTCTCTCTCTCTCTCTCTCTCTCTCTCTCTCTCTCTCTCTCTCTCTCTCCAATCCCGTCAATCAATTGAATTGAATCAAGCCGTATGCATTTGATACAGTCCCGATCGGCCGTCCGCCCGCCCGACGACGGCTCCGGGCTCGACCCCAGCGCCGCCACCGCCGCCGCCCAACGCCGCGCCGGCCGGCCTCCGGCCTCCTCCAGCTCCAGTCGCCACAGCAGCTCGGCGAGGAGCCGGGTGTGCAGTGGCGTGTCTGTGACTGTCGCGCTCCGTCCGGTCGCACTGGAGACACAGGACTCCTGCATCGGTAGGTGCAGAGTTCAGGGAGCTGTGAGGTTTGAGAGAGCACTCGGTGAACATTTCGAGGTGTCCCGCTGATAGCGCCGGAAATCAAGATCGTCGACGAGCCGTCGAGAGGTTTCACGTTTGACGTTTTTTACGTAGATTGATTCATCGTATCAGGTAAGTGTCGAATGCTTCTCTTTGAAGTGTCACATGTTATCACTCGAGCCCTGATGTCATATCACTGATGTCATATCCGCCGAAAAACACGGAATCGCCGTGTAATCGCCCAATGTTTGCTCACCACATTCTTCCACTAATGAGTTGTCATTCGCGCCTTCCTGATCCTAACAACCAACATGCCAGCCCAATTAAGTCATTAACATCGCCTCTTCAAACAACGGGCCGATAAGCGCTGTTATACCCTCGGGACGGACGACACGACGGGCTCTGTATATGTCGTCAGCTGACCGGGATACGACCATCCAGCGTTGTGCCGGGTCAATAACGACCGGTGGCTCGGCGGTCAGCGTGCTCGGTCGCCTAGGTTTCCAGTTTACGCCGACACTGGCCAGGCCGTGGCGACAGTGGGCGACACGGGCGAGATCGACCACGGCGACAGGGGCGAGATCGACCACACCAAACTTCGCGGTTTGACGAGCGGCCGTTTGTGGGCGCGACGCGGCTCTGTAGAAGCGTTGTTTGTTGCCCGTGTTGTTGAATCGAAGCCCGTGACGGTTCTACTGCTGGGGACACCGGCAGTGCAGGTTATGAGGCCAACAGGTATGTCCTGCAAATAGCGATGCACTGTAGGACGTACCCACGTGCGCTCCTGATGGCTCCAATCAGAGTTCTGGCCTTAGCGCTCACTCCCGTGCTTACCTCCCAGCGATGCATGTCATCCATTTGGCCATTTGAGGCCTGCCCTCGGCGCCGCCTGCCCGGTGCCGGGCGACGGCTCCTGTCCTTACGTCCTCAAACACGAGGCAGTGCCGAGGGCAGACGGTAAGGGGCAAGGAAAGGAATGTGAGACGAGGTTAGGTGGCATGATGGGGATGGGGGCGGGTCGCCTCACCGCACAGCGTCGTCTCCTCTCGCCCCCACGCGGCGACTGACTGTCTGTGCGGCGGCGCGGTCAGCCCTCCTCCCCTGTTTGTCACCTAGGGTGTTATCACTGCCGGCGGCCCGGCCGTGTGTACCTACTTTACTGCCCCGTTCTCCTCTCCCGTCCCCTCCCCGCCCCAGCCTCCAACCCACGATGGCCGCTGCGCCGGTCTCCCGTCCGTTTCCCGCTGGCCAGAACCTCAGTTATCTTTGTGCGATAACTAACCGATAAGATGATGAGATAAGATCGCATATCGCAATGTGCGAGTAGCTAGTCAGATGTCGTTGGAAATGGTAGAAGGAAACGTACATCTTGGAACCTATCTCGTCTCTTCCACCTTAGTCGTTTCACATTTCTAAATTCATCATCCATTACGGGCGTTGCGTACCTGCCGTACGCTATTTAACGATCCCTGATTGCACCAGGTATGGTGCCAGCCTACATATGCGCGTTTCACAATGCTGGAAACGGGCCCCTGTACTCCGAACTCCCGTGAGGAAAGTTCACGCTCCAAATGTCGCGACCCGCGGCCACGACTACTTACGGTGACGAGCGACAGACAGTCTGGGACGCGCTCCATCGGACACTGTTTGCCTTTCCCATCGGCTGTCCGCTGTGTGTGTCTGTGCTTTATCCAGTGCGGTGCGACAAACGTAAAAGGACTGTTTTTAATGACCATCAATGTGGCTTACTGCCTCCTGGCGACTATTTTATATCGCTGATCGCAGTCCTACTGTTAAAACGATAAAAAAAGTTGAACAATGATGGCGTACTTTGCTCGGTGAAGTGTCCAAGTCCATCTATCATAGTGAAGCGTGCCTAAGTATTTATTCGGCAGTCTTTTAAGGTGGACCGTCTAACCTACTGTATGCGACTTGCAACTTAGCTTATGCTTTGTGCCGTATCCGAGTCCGTCTGAAGTCGCTCGAAGCGGAAACGAAGGAAACCGAAAATGTGTAGATAAGTCCGAACAATAAGTCCGATAAGCACCTATGTCCGTCCAACTTCAGACAGCTCACACGCAGCGCGGACTCGGACTCGGTTCAGCCGGTACACCTAGGATCGACTCGAACCTTGCACATACCTACCATAGATGCACACTCGCGAGGTTATAAGGCTAATAGATGGATTTTGGATGTTTTGACAAAATCGCCAGTAAATATTAAAAACGGCGACATTAACCTTAACTGCTTTACTTTTTGTTCGTACGCATGTAGTACCTACGTAGGTATACGTAACCGCAGGTGGTTTGAAATAGACAAACACTATTCACTAGTAGAATTTTGTTAAACGGATATATTGAAATGGTGTAGTGAATAGTTGGAATGTTTCATATCAGTAGTACCCAAGGCTCGTAGTACCTATCCTTAAAAACGTTGGAAGATGCTATATGCAATTTGGTAGCTGTAAGCCGTAAGGTGTTTGTGCTAACGCGAATGTGTGTTCAACTGTATCAGAGCACGTCGCTTTTCATCAAGCAGGTCTCTCAAAGGAAAGGATGTAAAATGTAAATCACCTCTCAAGAGTAAACAGGCCACAGGGTCTTAATAATAGTGCAAACGTGCCAAGCGCCACTTTCGTTCGACATTCGTTATCAAAACGTCTGACGCACTCAGCCGTCTCAACTAGTGATGTCAATTATAGAAAATATGAATACCAATTCCAAACTTTTTTCCTTCACTATTATAAATTAACGAGTTAGAATCGACTCATAAACACAACCCCTTTATCTTGGTGTTATGTTCTCCAAATTTTTTTTATAGGCGTCGATAAAAAGGTGATACAAAACATTTCCGGTACATATCCACACACACGCACACACAAACCCATACACACATGCCCGCTCGGACACGGTCAGGAGGCGTTCAAGCGCCAATCCTCCGTGCGGCAGTTACAGTCCCCCACCCTCCATCCTGACTATCTGGCTGCAGAGCTCCTTGTGGAGGTAAAAGAAGGTATAACCGTCCCGTTGGTGACCTTCATTCAGGACGTACGCCTCGTCCACGCAGCTGACTCGCTGGTCGTCGTAATGGAACCACATGTCCCGTCCTACACTGTACACGTCAGACACATAGTGTCCCGAGTGCGCGGTGCCGCCGTAGTGGCTGATGACGCCCACCAGCCGATACGTAGAGTCGCCGACCAGGTCGACGGGACGGAGCGACTGATCTTCCTGGACGCAAAACTCTGAAAGGTGCACCTGTTCCACGGCGCCGGCCGGCTCTCTCTCCTGTGACCTCCTGATAACATGGAGCTCGCGACCCTTGTCCTCACGGGTCCGCCCCGGCTTCGAGTATGAGTTGGCGGCGTCCAACACCTGCAGCTAGGGTGGCGGCAATGGCGGCGACTCAGCAGCAGCAGTCGCCGATGGCGAAGGACGAGCCGGCGCCGTGGCTCCGGCCGACACTGGAGAGCCTGCAGTGGTGGGCGCTGTTGGGGCGGCGGTGGCGGCCGGTGGGCCTGAGGGAACCTCCGACTCCCTAGTACACAGGGAAGGATTTGTGCAGTTCCACTCGGGAGGCCGGGTGACGTCGTCCGCGACAAACTCGTTCAGCGAGAGGAACTTGGGGATGCTCACTTTGGTCCGGATCTTCTTCGCCTCATCCCCCAGAAAGACACACCGGTTCAGTTGGAGGATCAGTGTCCTGGGAAGCTGACTTATCTTGGTGGTGACGTAACACTCATCGTGGCAGCAGTGCTGACAGAGCAGGTGGCGCCGGTCGGGTCGCATGCTCAGCCGCAGCGCGTCCTGCAGCGTGGGCGCCTCGGTGCCCTGGTGGTGCGGTACGCTCACAAACCAGCTGATGTTCTCTTGGCGCTTCAGAACTGTCTCATGACACTTTGTGCACCTGTAACTCTCGAGGGTCTGGTAATGGAAGTTGTCGCGGACCGGGTTGTCTGTCGATCGTCGAGCGTCGACTTCGTCTTTCATTGTGTCCAGCAGGCGCAACAGGAACTCGTTGGCGTCCTGCATCTCGGTGCCTCGAAACGCCGGATCGATGTCGGCGAAAACATCGCGCAGGTCATTCAGGTGGCTGAAGACTAATTTGCTGAGCGCCTTCTGGCGAAGATCCATCAGTTTGGCAACGCCACACAGCGTGCGGCACTGGCCGCTTTCGACCGGGCCCGAGATCAGGGACACCATCTCACTCTGGAACGGTTGGAGACCCAGCAGGGATTGCAGGGTGGCGTTTTGATAGCAGGTGTTCCCATAGTTGGGCAGGCCGATGTAGAGTGGGTCCTTGCTGTTCTTGTCCGAGTCGAGCGGCGGGATGACTGGATTCAGCTGTAGGTCGTGACTGGTCGTCTGTGCCTTGCTCTCTGACCCTGCTTGTCTCCTCTTCTTGCGCGCCTCAAGCTGGCACTGGCTGCGCTGTCGGACATCCTTGGCCACCTCCAAACGCTGAGGTGGGCGGGAAGGAAGCGAAGTGCTTGTCAGCAGGATGGAAGCTGCGTTGCCTCTGATGATGGCGATCGAACACCGCTGGAGAAGCCACTCCGTCTCCCGTCTCTCTCCCGTGACCGCGGACACCTGAGCTCCGATTTCTCGGAGAAGACTCTTTGTTGATGGGCCGCAGGAGCCACTTGTCTCAAAAGCGATTGGCTGAAAACGGAAGCGCCGACAGAGTTCTGGGTATTTTCTACGTTTTTCTTCTTCCGCTTCAGCGGCAGCTGCCCCTGCTTGGACCACCGCCGAGGCGAGGCGGGACTCAGCGTACGTGTTGACGCACGTAACATCCCAGACAAGGCACTGTCCCTGTGTGAAAGGGAAGATGGTCATTCCATCTGGGCGTTTGCTGTCACCTCGATTGATGCCGAGCGGTTCTAAGAGGGCGGGCACGCCGGCCGACTGCAGAGCTCTCCTGATGACCTCCAGAGGTCGATAAAATGCTTGGAGTTGCTCCAACGAACATCTTAGTCCCATCACTGTCTCCAACTTAGCCCTCGCCTGGTGGGAGGGGGGATGCAGCCTCCCTAAGTTTTTTTCGCGAATAGCGTAAAAGGTGGTGTCGCGTAGCGCCGCAAAATTTGGCACAACGTCTGGGAATGAGCCTCTTGCGATATATCCTGAAAATTTCAGGTGCCAGTCATTTCAGGACCTGGACTATGACTATGACAAGTACGACCAGTGTTGGTACTCACACCTTTCCTTTGAATTAGACGGATAAACAGGCGCCATGCCTATAAATTCGCCCAAGCAAATGATATGCTAGATGAACAATGCATGCACAACTGTCTAATCACTGCCAATTGCCGCGTCGGCACACCGGCATCTCCTCACCTTCTCCCCACACGGCCTTGACTCCCCAACTCACACCATCACACTACTGCATACGGTGACCGGTCACACGGTGGATCTGAATGCCTACGTTTTCATGCCAAAGTCTGAAACAACTAACGATTATCATCAGCGTAGAAATGCTGAAATTTAGCATTTTAAAGCTTTTAACTTAAAACTTTATAAGTGTGTTTTAACGCACTTGTCCTTATTGATTGAGAAAAGAGCGCACTTTTGATCGTATTACCTTATACGAAGTAACGCAATCGAAGTGTGATTCCGGTCCACTGTGCGTTTTCAGGCGCGCTCGATAAAACACCCAGGCCTGGAGAAAGTTGGAAGGGCGATTTTCTGATCCTCCTTACCACAAAATGACCCTAAGCGAAAAAATGCCCGCGGGGCGCTGCCAACGCGTGCCAGCGGCCCTGCTAGTAAGGGCGAAAATCAATGCATGTGTATGCGGAGCACACCCTTAGCGCTACGATGGCTCCTTGGAGACACCTGGAGAAACCTCTGCCGGCAGAAGGGTCAGGTCCCTCGCAGACGGCGCGGCACGGCGGGAGCTTAGCGGGTGGCCTAGCCGGAAAGAGGATAAAAATAGCCGACTGGCCCGACCCAGCGAGGGGTGACCGAAGGGTGACCAGGAGTCAGTGGCGGATCTAGGATTTGAGTTTAGGGGGGGCAAACATTGCGCCGCCAGGCAAGTCGGCGAGAATTTCAAACGTCCAGTCTTAGGAACAAAAAAAAAAAACGAGCTACCCCTATTTTTCTCCTCGGATTTCGGGACTTTTTTTTTTTTACATTTTTGTCAGTACGGCCAAGCCAGGGCAGCGCAAAAAAAATTGCAGCCACCCTGACTCCGGGAGATAGTTAGCCCGCGCCCCGCTGGGCTATTCAGCCATACGCGCCCTGCTGGGGGGGGGGGGGGGCAGATTCTGCCCCCCTGTCTAACTTCCGAACCGATGGTCGTAGAAAGACGGGGAAAACGGCAATCGAAAGCTCTCAACAAGGCGGATCTTAAGAGCCAAAATTTTTTTGCTTAAGTAGGTCAGAGGTCAGGTCAAGGTCAGGTCAAGGGTACAAAATACAAGTTTCTACAGTATCGGCCTTGCACCGTAGTTGCCGAAGAATGGACTGAGACTGATTGCCCAAAACGTGTTCTTAGACTACCAAGACAATATTCATTGCACACAATGTCATTCAAAGGTCAAGGTCAAGGTCAGGTCAGGTCAGGTCAGGTCACCAAAAACAAAATATAGAAAAGGGCATGTGCGACACATGTTTTATGGGTCATTTTACTCATGGAATTCAATAGGCACACTCAATAAGTGATATGGACCACCTCTGGATGAATTTCAGGTCGAGGTCAGGTCAAGGTCAGGTCAAGTGAGGTCAAATTTTGAAGTTGGTTGTTAAGGCCTAAAAAGGTGTCTATTCGATGCAGTTTTTCACGGCGAATCGAATGGTGCTATTTTTGTTTCCGTACGAGGTCCAGAACTTCCAAAAAAATCATTTTTCAAAATTTTTGTGTGTCGTGACGTCATAAAATTTTGAATAACTCCCACATTTTTGAACCGATTCTTCTAAAAATTGGTATGTAGGTGCACATAGACCACTTCTTTGACATATATTCCGGTTTTTTCGATAAACTCAAAATTTTTGATTTTATAAATATTTTCCCCAAAAAGTCAGTTTTTTGGAAAAATTTTGGCCAAAATCCAGAATTTTCAAAAAACCGAGATAGCCATTTGATAGACAAAGTAGAATCACGTATAACCTTTTTTGTTACGTCTTGATTCCTTTAAAAATGAAGATGTTAGCGGCGTTTGAAATTTTGCCGTTTTTGAGGCGAAAATGGCGAACATGACGTCACTAAAACGTCAATTTCTCAAAAATTTTCCGACGGATTTTGCTCAAATTTTCAGGGAACGTGTCAAATTGATGTATGATAAGGTACTGAAAGTTTGACGTCGCTGGCGTAACGCGTTTAGAAGTTATTGGCGAAAAACGGGAGGGGGGGCAGATTCTGCCCCCCCCCCAGCGGGGCGCGGGTTAGAGAATAGCTCACCGGCGCTATGGACGGTCCGTCCTCTACCTCCCGCATCACCTCGGCAAGACCTCGTCCGAAAGGTCCGCCCGCGCCGGTTCTCAAGGGCTTCTGTATCCGGAGACCGATAAGGGTAGCAGCAGCAGGTTCATGTGTAAATGCCCACGACCAAAGGCCACATCAGCGTCCCTGCGATACTATACGCACTACGCAGTCAGGGTTGCCACGTAGTTAAACGTATTAACAGTTGTTTCCGGTAATAGAAAATGAGATCAGTCGATTAAGAATCCCAACAAGAAATAGACGAAGAACAGCGCATTTGTTTTCGGTCCTGCATTTATTGATGCAATTACAATGAACATTCCTTAACTTTGGGACTAAACTTCGCGAGCTAGCAAAATTATACAATAAGTGTTACTTTCGAGAGGAGATAAACGATGCTTCTACAATCTACAGACTACATAGGACCACAGCGCAACAGCCAACGGAATCACACTGAACAGCGTTAAGTTCCCACAACATACTGAGCTTCTCCAACACCTCGCAAACCAAAAGCTCTGACTGAGCCTTTCTGTGTTTGTCCCCGTTAGATAACGGTATGGCTCATGAAAAAGCCGCGATTGGTAATCTTCTTTACGTTATTCCTCTCAGAAACCTATCTCGCACTTGTTCTCAAAGGCACGCAGTACACCGTTCTTTCTGGCCATCACTGAGTGACACAGCGCACCCCTTTTGGCACCCCCTTTGGAAATGGCTGTATCCGCCTCTGGACATAACTAATGTAGCCACAGTGGAAATGCTAGGTACTAATGGATATTTATACCCACCAATATTTTTTTCAGCTCCTACACCCATGCTATCTAGCAATAAAATATTATGCAAACACTTCTTATATACCCATGCAAACCCACCACTGCCCAACCGCTCACCAGTGTGGTGACCCCTGATCCCACTGGCGTCTGGTGGTCTGCTGTTGACGGTTTGTTTACTTGGTTCAAGGTTTCAATAAATCGTGTTATTATTATTTTTTGGTAGCAGTAGCAGTAGTAGCACTGCTGATGGATGATGGACTGACATTCATGGGGCGGAGGACTTTTTATCAGCTCACAACTTAATATCACGAATATGACAACCTTCTAGTCCTCCATTTATTTCACATTTTCTTTTCAAACACCATATTTTTAGTATTCAAGTTGTAGTTTTTTTAGGGGGGGCAAAAAGATATGTTTGCCCAGAGATTTTCCGTTTAGGGGGGGCAATTGCCCATTTTGCCCCAACGTAGATCCGCCACTGCCAGGAGTGAATGAGGGAACATACACGCGGTACCGAGCAGCCGATACCAGCACCGGACGATTAGAAAGTCATAAGTCAATGCTGTATTTTAGGCGTAAGGAAGCATCCATGTAGACGGGCGGACTGTCTCCAGCTCTTCCAAGTATTGCTAATATCTTGCTCCAACGAGCGTTGGCACGTTGGAAGTTTTATCGACCACTGATGACCTCATTCAACGCTGTGTGTCGGGGAAGTCTTCCAGCGCTGAAGCGGCATGTGAGCGTGTGATGACCCTTGCAGTCTGCCACCGCGCCGCACTTGCAGACATGGCTGCTGTTCACGTCGGCCCCGACTCGTAGGGCTATGGCGATACGGACGGTGTTGTTATCTAGAAGGGTGCCGAGACTCGCAGACGGTAATGCTCGCATCCATGCGCCGCTCTCAGGTGTCGCTGCGCTGAGGAGTCGAGCACGCTCAAACTGGTTGGCCGCAGCCAGCAGAGAATCTCTCTGCTTTTCTGCGAGGGGATAGTCCCACTTCTTCTGCTGGTGGCGAGCATCAGCGTCTGGAGTCATTTTGTCACCTGCCTTTGTCAGCCAGTCAGCCGTCGATTCATCCAGCTCCTTAGAAATAGCGGCAGTGAAGAGAGGAGGTAGAAGAGAAGACAGCAGTTGCTGACATCGGTGGAATGAAGCTATGAAGCTGGGCAGGGCGACGTCTGTAACTCGTCTGAGACCAAGCCCTCCAAGAGAGGTGGGTAGGACCGCCTGCTGCCAGCTAGTTTGGTCAAAGTAGACGTTGGTCA